TTATGAAGATATCCAATATACAGAACAATGAGAAAATATTAAAAGCTACAAGAGAAAGGAGGCAGATTACATTCAGGGGTAAACAAATAAGGTTAACAACGGATTTTTCATCACAGACGCTGAAAGCGAGAAGATCCTGGAACAACATATTTCAAACACTGAAAGACAATGGATGCCAACAAAGAATTTTGTATCCAGCAAAATTAAGCTTCAGGTACAACAACGAAATAAAAATCTTTCATGATAAACAAAAGTTAAAAGAATTTGCAGGCAGAAAACCAGCATTGCAAAGCATCTTGACAAAACACTACACGAGGAAGAAATGAAAAACAATATTTTATATATATATATATATATATATATATATATATATATAATATTATATATAGTAGTTCAGGGCCCCTCTTTGTATAACTTGTATATACACAGCATGGAATATCATGAGCCTATCAAAAGAATAAGGTTAGGTCTACATGTCTTAAAAAGATGTCTATGATAGTATGTTAGACAGGGAGCGGGGGGAAAGCTAACCATGGAGAAACAAACTAAATTAAAAAAAAAGAAGAAGAAGATAAATAATCAAACATGGCTGGAAGTACAAACCATATATCAATAGTAACTCTAAACATTAATGGCTTAAACTCTCCAATAAAGCGACATAGGCTGGTAACATGGATTAAAAAAACAAATCCAACAATATGCTGCCTCCAGGAGACACATCTGATTGGAAAAGATATACACAGGCTGAAGGTGAAAGGTTGGGAAAAAATATACCATGCACACGGTCCTCGTAAGCAAGCAGGGGTGGCCATCCTCATATCGAATAAAATTGACTTCAAGACTAAATTAATCAAAAGGGATAAGGAAGGACATTATATACTGTTAAAAGGAACCATTCACCAACAAGACATAACAATTATCAATATTTATGCACCAAATAATGGTGCTGCGACATTCATAAAACAAACTCTCCTCAAGTTCAAGAATCAAATAGACCACAACACAATAATTATGGGTGACTTCAACACACCTCTCTCACCATTGGACAGATCCTCCAAACAAAAGCTGAATAAAGAAACTATAGAACTCAATATCACAATCAACAACCTAGACTTAACTGACATATATAGAATATATCAACCATCATCAAGTGGATATACTTTTTTCTCAGCAGCACATGGATCCTCCTCAAAAATAGACCATATATTATGCCATAGGGCAACCCTCAGTAAATATACAGGGGTGGAGATAATACCATGCATTTTATCTGATCATAATGGAATGAAACTGGAAATCAATGATAAAAGACGGAAGGAAAAATCCTACATCACATGGAAAATGAACAATATGTTACTGAATGATCAATGGGTTACAGAAGACATAAAGGAAGAAATCAAAAAATTCTTAGAGATAAATGAAAATACAGACACAACATATCGGAATCTATGGGACACAATGAAAGCAGTTTTAAGAAGGAAATTCATCGCTTGGAGGTCATTCCTCAAAAAAAGGAAAAACCAACAAATAAATGAGCTCACACTTCATCTCAAAGCCCTAGAAAAGGAAGAGCAAAACAACAGCAAATGTAGCAGAAGGCAAGAAATAATTAAAATCAGAGCGGAAATCAATGAAATTGAAACAAAAGAAACTATTGAAAAAATTAACAAAACTAAAAGTTGGTTCTTTGAAAAAATAAATAAGATCGACAGACCCTTAGCCATGCTAACGAAGAGAAGAAGAGAGAGAACTCAAATCACTAACATACGGGATGAAAAAGGCAATATCACAACAGACACTACAGAAATACAGAAGACAATTAGAAATTATTTTGAAAACCTATATTTCAATAAAATAGAAGATAGTGAAGACATTGATAAATTCCTTAAGTCATATGATTTGCCCAGACTGAGTCAGGAGGATACTCACAACTTAAACAGACCAATAACAATAGATGAAATAGAAGAAGCAATCAAAAGACTTCCAACCAAGAAAAGCCCAGGACCGGATGGGTATACAGCAGAGTTTTACAAAACCTTTAAGGAAGAATTAATACCAATACTTTTCAAGTTATTTCAGGAAATAGAAAAAGAAGGAGATCTGCCAAATTCATTCTATGAGGCCAACATCACCCTGATTCCGAAACCAGACAAAGACACCTCAAAGAAAGAAAACTACAGACCAATATCTCTGATGAACATAGATGCAAAAATCCTCAATAAAATTCTGGCGAATCGGATACAAAGGCACATCAAAAAAATTGTGCACCATGATCAAGTAGGATTCATCCCTGGGATGCAAGGATGGTTCAATATACGGAAATCAATAAATGTTATTCACCACATCAATAGACTTAAAAATAAGAACCATATGATCATCTCAATAGACGCAGAAAAAGCATTCGACAAAGTACAGCATCCCTTTATGTTCAAAACATTAGAAAAACTAGGGATAACAGGAACTTACCTCAACATTGTAAAAGCTACCTATGCTAAGCCTCAGGCTAGCATCATTCTGAATTGAGAAAAATTGAAGGCATTCCCTCTAAAATCTGGAACAAGACATGGATGCCCTCTATCACCACTTCTATTCAATATAGTTCTCAAAACACTGGCCAGAGCAATTAGACAGATGAAAGAAATTAAAGGCATAAAAATAGGAAAAGAAGAACTTAAATTATCACTATTTGCGGACAACATGATTCTATACCTAGCAGACCCAAAAGGGTCTACAAAGAAACTACTAGAACTAATAAATGAATTCAGCAAAGTGGCAGGATATAAAATCAACACACATAAATCAAAGGTATTTCTGTATATCTGCGACAAAACGTCTGAAACGGAAATGAGGAAAAACACCCCATTCACAATATCCTCAAAAAAAAATAAAATACTTGGGAATCAACCTAACAAAAGAGGTGAAAGACTTACACAATGAAAACTACAAAACCCTAAAGAGAGAAATAGAAGAAGATCTTAGAAGATGGAAAAATATACCCTGTTCATGGATAGGCAGAACTAACATCATCAAAATGGCAATATTACCAAAAGTTCTCTATAGGTTTAATGCAATGCCAATCAAAATCCCAATTACATTTCTTGTAGAAATAGATAAAGCAATCATGAAATTCATATGGAAAAATAAAAGACCCAGAATAGCAAAAACAATGCTAAGCAAGAAGTGTGAATCAGGCGGCATAGCAATACCAGATTTCAAACTATACTACAGAGCAATAGTAACAAAAACAGCATGGTACTGGTACCAAAACAGGCGGGTGGACCAATGTACAGAATAGAGGACACAGAGACTAATCCACAAAGTTACAACCATCTTATATTTGATAAAGGGGCTAAAAGCATGCAATGGAGGAAGGATAGCATCTTCAACAAATGGTGCTAGGAAAACTGGAAATCCATATGCAACAAAATGAAACTGAATCCCCTTCTCTCACCATGCACAAAAGTTAACTCAAAATGGATCAAGGAGCTTGATATCAAATCAGAGACTCTGCGTCTGATAGAAGAAAAAGTTGGCTCCGATCTACATATTGTGGGGTCAGGCTCCAAATTCCTTAATAGGACACCCATAGCATAAGAGTTAATAACAAGAATCAACAAATGGGACTTACTTAAACTAAAAAGTTTTTTCTCAGCAAGAGAAACAATAAGAGAGGTAAATAGGGAGCCTACATCATGGGAACAAATTTTTACCCCTCACACTTCAGATAGAGCCCTAATATCCAGAGTATACAAAGAGCTCAAAAAATTAAACAATAAGATAACAAATAACCCAATCAACAAATGGGCCAAGGACCTGAACAGACACTTCTCAGAGGAGGATATACAATCAATCAACAAGTACATGAAAAAATGCTCACCATCTCTAGCAGTCAGAGAAATGCAAATCAAAACCACCCTAAGATACCATCTCACTCTAGTAAGATTGGCAGCCATTATGAAGTCAAACAACAACAAGTGCTGGTGAGGATGTGGGGAAAAGGGTACACTTGTACATTGCTGGTGGGACTGCAAATTGGTGTGGCCAATTTGGAAAGCAGTATGGAGATTCCTGGGAAAGCTGGGAATGGAACCACCATTTGACCCAGCTATTGCCCTTCTCGGACTATTCCCTGAAGACCTTAAAAGAGCGTACTACAGGGATACTGCCACATCGATGTTCATAGCAGCACAATTCACAATAGCTAGACTGTGGAACCAATCAAGATGCCCTTCAATAGATGAATGGATAAAAAAAATGTGGCATTTATACACAATGGAGTATTATGCAGCACTAAAAAATGACAAAATCATGGAATTTGCAGGGAAATGGATGGCATTAGAGCAGATTATGCTAAGTGAAGCTAGCCAATCCCTAAAAAACAAATGCCAAATGTCTTCTTTGATATAATGAGAGCAACTAAGAACAGAGCAGAGAGGAAGAACAGGAGGAAAAGATTAACATTAAACAGGGATGAGAGGTGGGAGGGAAAGGGAGAGAAAAGGGAAATTGCATGGAAATGGAAGGAGACCCTCATTGTTACACAAAATTACATATAAGAGGTTGTGAGAGGAATGGGAATAAAAACAAGGAGAGAAATGAATTACAGTAGATGGGGTAGAGAGAGAAGATGGGAGGGGAGGGGAGGGGGGTAGTAGAGGATAGGAAAGGTAGCAGAATACAACAGTTACTAATATGGCATTATGTAAAAATGTGGATGTGTAACCAATGTGATTCTGCAATCTGTATTTGGGGTAAAAATGGGAGTTCATAACCCACTTGAATCTAATGTATGAAATATGATATGTCAAGAGCTTTGTAATGTTTTGAACAACCAATAAAAATAAATAAATAAATAAATAAAGTACATGTATAAAGATATGAATTGGTGTGAAGATACTTTATATACAACCAGAGATATGAAAAAAGTACTCTCTATATATAATATAAATTGTAATACATTCTGGTGTCATATATTTTAAAAATCAATTAAAAAAAAAGAATACCTGATCATTCTGATTTTCAAGTCTTGGAGAAAAGCTGGGAATTATTGGGCGGACTGCAGCTAGTTCTTGGAGTTTTGTATGAATTTCAGCAAGCTGCTGATGCTGGGTGGCTGCAAATGTGTATCCTTCTCCTGGGACCAGCCAACCAGACTGATCACCCTAAAATGAAACAAGGGTTACCAGGTCATATCCATACTACATTTTCCAAAACATACCTTTCAGACTGCTTTATCAAAGCCCAGGATTTCACAAAACAAACAAAAGCAAAACAAGAAACACAGAATTAATATTAGGATGGTAAAAGAAAAAATGAAATAGTTTACAGTTTCATTATCTGCCAACTCTGTGTAAAGTATCTTCTTACATTATGTGGGAGTTTCTCCTATGGACTAAATCTCTTAGTCTGGTTATCATAATATTTTCATTTCTCTACTTTAGAAAAAGGTTTTGTGATGTGTTGAATAGGAAGAAATCAGTAACTACCCTAAAGGAAAACACAATCAAAGGAGAAACAAAGTCAAGTAAAAAACAAAACAAAATTACTGGGAATACAAACAATATTTCAATAATAACCCTGAATATTAATGGCCTAAATTCATCAGTTAAAAGACACAGACTGGCAGATTGGATTAAAAAAGAACACCCAACAATATGCTGCCTTCAAGAGACTCATCTTATTGGAAAAGACATCTATAGTCTGAAGGTGAAAGGATGGGAACAAACATAACACTCACATGGACTGTAGAAACAAGCAGGGGTTCCCATTCTCATATCAGATAAAAGTGGACTTCAAACCAAAGTTAGTCAGAAAGGATAAAGAAGAACATTATGTACTGCTTAAGGGAATCATATATCAACTAGACATAACAATCATAAATATTTATGCCCCAAACAATGGAGCATCTACATACATTAAACAAACTCTTCTCAGTTCAAGAGTCAAATAGATTACAACACAATAATACTGGGTGACTTTAACACATCTCTTTCCCCACTGCATAGATCTTCTAAACAAAAAAATAAACAAAGAAATTACAGAACTCAATAATACCACCAATAATTTAGACTTAACAGACATACATAAAATATTCCATCCATCAATGAGTGAAGACACTTTTTTCTAAGAAGCACATGGATCCTTCCCTAAAATAGACCATATGGAAAATACAAAAATATAGTGATAGTACCCTGTATTCTACCAGACCATAATGGAATAAAATTAGAAATCAATGATAAAATAAAAAATAAAAGCTATTCCAACACCTGGAGATTAATAATACATTATTAAAATATGCATGGATAGCAGAAGACATCAGGGAGGAGATAAAAAAAAATCTTAAAAGTAAATGATAATTTTGATAAACAACAGACCAAAATCTCTGGGACACTATAAAGGCATTGCTAAGAGGAAAGTTCACTGCATTGAACTCATTCATTAAAAGAAGTAAAAGTCAACAAATAAATAACCTGACATTACATCTCAAAGCACTAGAGAAAGAAGAAAAAATCAATATCAAAAATAGTAGAAGACAGAAAATAATTAAAATAAGGGCTGAAATCAATGAAACTGAAACAAAAGAAATAATTGAAAAAAAAATTGATAAAACCAAAAGCTGGTTCTTTGAAAAAATTAATAAAATTGATAAACCCTTAACCACCCTAACAAAAAGAAGTGAAAACTCAAATTACTAAAATTTGTGATGAAAAAGGAAATATTATGACAGATACCACTGAAATACTGAAGATAACTAGAAACTATTTTGAAAATTTATACTCCAATAAAATAGAAAATATTGAAGACACCAGAAAATTTCTAGAGATATAGGAGCTTCCCAAACTGAATCAGGAAGATATACACAATTTAAACAGATAAATATCAAGCATGAATAGAAGATGTCATCAAAAGCCTACCAACTAAGAAAAGCCAAAGACCAGACAGGTTCTCAGACAAGTTCTATAAGACCTACAAAAAAGAAATTAATACCAATATTCCTCAAATTATTTCATGAAATAGAAAAGAGGGAACCTTTCCAAACTCATTCTATGAAGAAGGTGTCACCTTGAAACCTAAGCCAGACAAAGACATATCAAGGAAAGAAAGCTTCAGACCAATATCCCTGATGAACATAGATGCAAAAATTTTCAATAAAATTCTGGCAAATTGCATACAAAAACATATTTAAAAGATAATGCACCATGATCAAATGGTGTTCATTTCAGGGATGCTAGGTTGGTTCAACATACAGAGTTCAAAAACATAATTCATCACATCAATAGATTAAAGATAAGAATCATATGGTCATCTCAATATATGCAGAAAAATTAATTGATAAAATACAACACCCTTTCATGGTCAGAACACTAGAAAAAATAGGGATAGTAGGAACATATCTCAACATTGTGAAAGCTATCTATGCTAAGCCCAAGGCCAACATTATTCTAAATGGAGAAAAACTGGAGGCATTCCCTCTAAGAACTGGAACAAGACAGGGATGCCCTCTTCCACCACTCCTATTCTACATAGTCCTTGAAACTCTAGCCAGAGCAATTAGACAGATGAAAGAAATTAAAAGGATATAAATAGGAAAAGAAGAACTCAAACTTTCACTATTTGCCAACAACATGATTCTATACTTACAGGATTCAAAAAACTCCACCAGAAAACTTCTAGAACTAATAAATCAATTCAGCAAAGTATCAGAATATAAAATCAACACCCATAAATCAAAAGCATTTCTATACATCAGTGATGAATTCTCAGAAAGAAAAATTAGGAAAATACCCCACTCACAATTGTCTCATTAAAAAAATAATAAAATACTTGGGAATCAATCTAACAAAAGAGGTTAAAGTCCTATACAATGAAAACTACAGAACACTAAAGAAAGACATTGAATGTTCTTGGATAAGAAGAATTAATACTGTCAAAATGGACATATTATAAAAAGCTTTATACAGATTTAATGCAATTCCAATTAAAATACCAACAACATTCTTCATATAAATAGAAAAAGCAATCATGAAATTCATTTGGAAAAATAAGAGAACCAGAATAGCCAAAGCACTCCTTAGCAAGAAGAGGCATCACAATATCAGACCTTCAACTATACTACAGAGCTATAGTAACAAAAATGGCATGATATCAGCACCAAAATAGACTTGTAGACCAATAGTACAGAAGACACAGAGACAAACCCACGTAAATACAGTTATCTCACACTTGACAAAGGTGCCAAAAACATACATTGGCGAAAAGATAGCCGCCTTCAACAAATGGTACTGGAAAACTGGAAATCTATATGCAGCAAAATGAAATTAAACCCACTATCTCTCACCATGTACAAAACTCAAGTCAAAGAGTATCAAAGACTTAGGCACTAGAACAGAGAACCCTGCATCAAAAAGAAGAAAAAGTAGGCCCAAATCTTCATCATTTCAGATTAGGTCCTAACTTCCTTAACCAGACTCCTAAAGTGAAAGAAATAAAATCAAGAATTAATAAATGGGATGAATTCAAACTAAAAACCTTCTTTTCAGCAAAGGAAACAATCCATAAGAGAAGTGCCCAAAGAGTGGGAGAACATCTTTACTACACACACATAAGATAGAGCACTATTCTCCAGGATATATAAAGAATTTTAAAAATTTAACACCAAAAAACTAAATAACTCAATCAATAAATGGGCTAAGGAACTGAACAGATACTTTTCAGAAGAAGATATACAATTGATCAACAAATATATGAAAAAATGTTCAACCTCTTTAGTAAGCAGAGAAATACAAATCAAAACTACTCTAAAATTTCATCTCACTCTAGTCAGAAGAGCAATTATCAAGGATACAAGCAATAATAAGTGTTGGCAAGGATGTAGAGAAAAGGTACACTCATACATTGCTGGTGGGACTACAAATTATTGCAACCACTATAAAAAGCAGTATGTAGATTCCTTAGAAAACTCGGAATGGAACCACCATTTGACCCAGCTATCCCACTCCTCAGCCTATACCCAAAGGACTTAAAATCAGCATACTACAGTGATACAGCCACATCAATGTTTACAGCAGCTCAAATCACAAGAATTAAACTGTGGAACCAACCTAGACGCCCTTCAACAGATGAATGGATAAAGAAACTGTGGTACATATACTCAATGGAATATTACTAAGTAGTAAAAGAGGATAAAATTATAGCATTTGTATATAAATGGATGGAGATGGGACAATATCATGCTAAGAGAAGAAAGCCAATCCCCCCAAAAATTTATAAAGGCTAAATGTTCTCTCTGATAAGTAGATACTGACCCATAATGGGGGCACGGGAGGTGGTTAGAGGGGCAGTGCATGGGGAGAATGGAGGAACTTTGACTGGGCAAAGGGGAGGGAATGAAGGGGAGGGGACATGGGGGTAGGAAAGCTGGTGGAACATTACCCTAGGTACATGTATGACTGTATATGTGGTATAACTCTACACTATGTACAACTAGAGAAAAGTTGTACTCCATTTCTATACAATGAATCAAAATGCATTCTGCTATCATGTATAACTAATTAGAACAAAAAAATAATTTTTTAAAGAATAAGACATAAATGCTAACAAGAATCATATGCAAAATGCAATATTAATAGCAAAAAAATCCCTATGAAAACATTCATAGAAGGTACAAGGAAGATTCATCATAACATAGTTTGACACACAGACAGTGGGCAGCAGTTTACAAATTCACAATTAACAAAACAAGGACTGAAACCAAGGTTTCTTAATTCTATTATCTGAGCTTTTGTTCATCAAATAAGAAAATTACCATAAATCAACAAAGCTAATGTATCTCAGAGTTATGGGGATATTCAGCAATGTGCCCTTTGCCCCTACTTCACCAGCCCACACAGTAAAATCTTTGTCCATTCCTAGACCCAGCCCCCACTGAGTGCTCATTATCTAAGAAAAGATTATTTAGACATCGTAACCTGTGATATTCTGTAGATTTGTTTTTGGTTTGGGGTGGAAGGTGAGAAATATTCTGTTTACCCACATTGAATTATATTGAATGGACTTACCTGTCAATATTTTAATGTTTCCCATAAAAATCTGAATTTTTAGCTTGTTTCAAAAAATTGGAGGATCTGGACAGCCCTGGACTAGGATTTTTTTTTTTTTTTGAGGGGTACCAAAGATTGAACCTAGGGACACTTAAAAATTGAGCATATTCCCATACCTTTTTTAAAAATATTTTATTTAGAGACAGGATCTTGCTGAGTTGCCTAGGGCCTCACTAAGTTGATGAGGCTGGCTTCGAACTCACAATCCTCCTGCCTCTGCTTCTGGAGACACTGGGATTAGAGGTGTACGCCACTGCACCCAACTGGACTAGGATTTCTACACAGCAATCACTAGCTGATGCCAGTCCCACTGAATTGGTGCATCCTGCCCTACTAGTCACAGTTATCACCACACATGCACTGCTTTTGTACCTAAAGCAAAATCCATCCTCTGAACCTATGGGTCTTAGGCTGGGTTACATAGATCCAGAACCTGAGACAGGAAATCTTGCTTGAGTGATTTATCAGAGAAATGTCTTTGGGAATAGGGGCATGAGGCAAACAGTCTAGGACAAGGGCACAAAGCAAGCTAAAGGCCAGCGTGGATCTGATCTCTGGAGAAGCACTACAAAGCTAATCCTATTTTGAGGTGAGGGATCTGAGGTAGGCAGGGCTACTTGGCTCCCATTTGGCTCCAGCTAATTCTCCAAGGAAGGGGACAGGTGTGTAGCCTGGCACAAGGCTAGGGAATGGATACACAGACAAGTTGTAGGTAAAGGGGATCTGGAAAGAGTGCCAGCATTTGCTCCACCATGTCTCTATTCAACACAGGAGAATAAAAAACAGCAGGGCTAGTTGTGTCAAGGAACACAGGAGGGTGTATTTCTTTGTAGAAGTAAAGAATATTCCTACTATATTACTATATAAACACTGGGCCACTGCACTCTTTCTGGGACCTTCTGGGACACTATAAATACCTGCACTTGCCCCCTACATTACATATTTCCCCTTTTCAGCTCAGTTTTTTGCCTCCCAGGGAATTAATTGGTCAAGTTTAACTGGGAAGGAGCAGGATGGTATTCTTTAGGATTACTGAAAACTATAGTGAAACACCATGTGTCCAATGTGGGGATAATAAAAAAGGATAGAGAGAAATAAATTCTTATGTCATCAGTATCTAAGCCCATCTCATCACAGGCGGTGGTTACTATCGTGATAATCAATGTGTGGTCCTCTAATAAAGACTTAAAATGATCTTAAAGAATTAATAATAAATTGACCAAAAATGAATTTGAAAACATGTATACAATAGGAATTTTTAAAGTCAGAGAATACTGTATCATAACCTAAAAAAAATATACTGTATAAGTCATTGACTATGAGTTTCCATACCTCAGAACTGGACAGTCCCGAATCTCCATCATCTAAGTCCTTCAAAAGTTCAGCCAGTCTTTGCTTCTCTCTGTCAATCATAACCACTGGGTTTCTTGAATTCTTAGCCAACTACAGAATTCATTAATGAGAAACATTAAATATTCAAAGCAATTCATAATTCAGGAAAATAAAAAAGTGGCAGAGGCATCCACAGAATAGAAACACCAAGACATATGTTGAGAGACATATGTTAGACCCTAACCCTAATTTTATATTGCTAGGTAATTTTATTTTATGACAAACACTTTTGTGGGGCCACTTCCAAATAAACAGGCCCTTTTGTTACTAAGAGAGCATTTTCAAATCTCTCCTTGTAAAATGTGCATACACACATGCAAAAATATATTTGCTGAGACATTTGGAAGGACTCTTCCTTTTTTCCACATTTTTACTGATGCATTATTATTGTATATGTTGGTGGGATTCCTCTTCTTGACAGTTCCTTATAGAAGATATCTACTAAATGAAACTGAAAGTTTCAAGCATAAATATTATAAGAAATTTAAATAAATATTCAGTTACTATTATTAAAATGGGGGAAATGTAATCTATGGTGGAGCTGTGCCAGCCAGAACTTGAATATGGGAGAAATTCTAAAGCTCTTAGAAAACTAAGCAATAAATAGTATAGAATGAGCCAGCACAAAGAGACAGCTCAAGCTGGATAAGGTTTCCTAAAGATCACTTGAACATGGAGTACAAAAAAAATTAGAGTCCCAAAGATCAGTCCTGGCAGTAGCAGGTTGACTCATGAATCTTGTCTGCCTGAATATGACATGTAAATGGTGGGAAAAGCATCAGACTGAACAGTAGGAATTACTTACTTTCTCTTCCTAAGACTTCACTCTCACCAATGCAGCCTTCTAGTAACTAGTTGCTCAAGGGCTGTGCTATGAGCCTTCTTCTACCCCATTTACATTTCTTATTATAAATTAATTAATTAATATTCTGGTCTAATACAGGAGTTCCTGTATCCTTGGTTAGTCTGAGTCTGTCTTATAAACAAATTTGCTACGGAACTTGCAAATTCAAGGAATAACCCCTGAAGCAGGGAGCTTTATCAAGGACAGTGACCAAGAGGCACAGTGGGAGGCAGACAACTAGTGGGCTTCTCCAGTCTACCCTTGCTGCTCTGCCAGAAGCATCCTCATTCCAAGTTCTAAATGCACTAGCTACATAATCCATCTCATTACTTTTAAAAACCAAATTTACTAATACACAATAGAAAATCTAGGAAACATCATCCAAAGATATTATCTAAATAAATATATTTCAAATTGTAGGAACCAGACTTTTCTAGGTGATGAAATAAATGCCAGTTGCAGCTAGCATTTTTTTTAAAGGGATAGGATAGGTTAGGATAGGATAGGATAGGATGGGATAGAATGTAATAGAAAACAGTGAAGGTAAGTATTGATTCAGAAAACTTTTCTTTCAGATATATGTTCTGGTTCAATTATGAACACATTTAACATGGTCAGAAATATTTAAAGATCCTAAACATTCTACCATCATTGTTGCAGCTCGTTTAGTCACACATTCTGACTCCTGAATTTCTAAGTACATACCTCAATGTTTCGCTTAACAAAATCGTGGTTGTGTTTACCCCTGAGCTCAAATTTTTCTGTATTTGAGAAAGGTTTCTTTTCTGCTTTGATCAATGACTCATTTCCTTCCACATCATAGGCAAAATCTAATATTAAAAAAGTTCAAAATGTTTTCATGATTACAATTATATGTTACACTAAAAATTCACTTTAAGCATATATTTAAGTTATAAGAAAGCACAGACAGAAAAAGTACCTTCCAAATTTCAGATCCAGATATATATGTGTGTGTGTGTGTGTAATTTTTTCTTAAAAAAAACAAATGTGATACTTAAGTTTAAATGAACTTCTCATTTCTTGTATTATTATCATGTATCAACCTTCTTGATATTGATTCCTTGAGAATGATGGGAAATATGAACAGAACTATTTCAGAGTCATGCATGTGAAAAAGAAATCTCTGGTATCATGAGAATTTTTAAAATATATATTCTATTTTTGTCTTGATGTGAAACAAAACTTCCCCTAAATATTAACTAGAGTCATCTCCAATTATTCTATTAATTTGCCATCACTCCTTCAAAACAATAAATCTTTGGTTCAAGCCTTTTTTTCTCTCCCTCTGTGGGATGGTGGTATCAGAGATTGGACCCTGGGAAACTCTACCAATGAGCTATATCACCAACCCTTTTTATTTTTTATTCTGAGACAGGGTCTTGCTAAGTTGCCCAGGCTGACCTAGAACTTGTAATCCTCCTGCCTTAGCCTCTTGAGTCACTGGTATTACAAGCATGCACCACTGTGCCCAGCTCAAGATGTCTTTTAAGCAAGTTCTGGGGATAAATGTCCTGGATGTTCTTTATTCCATCTGTATAAATCCCCAGAGGCCATCTCAGTTTGTCAGTTTTCCTCAATCTTCTGAAACACTCAGACCCTGAGTGCTCATAAAAAGGGCAGGAAAAATATGTGAACTCTTATCCCCTGTAGAAATAACAATATAAAATCATGTGAACCCTTCAGTATAATTCTAAAAATATGCACAAAAGGAGAGTCTCCTTAAATGACAAATAAAGCTCACCCCACAAAATAGGACAAATTGCCACACTGAAATCCAAAAAAAAAAAGAAAACACCAGTCAGTAGCTCAGTCCAGACTAGGTTTACTCAAGATTTTCCTTGTAAGAGGTACATTAATAAAATTAATAAAGGTCAATAAAATTAATAAAAGGTCACATTAATAAAAATTATCTATTCAACAAACGGCGCTGGCAAAACTGGTAATCCATGTGTAGCAAAATGAAATTAAACCTCTGTCTCTCACCCTGTACAAAAATCAACTCAGAGTGGATCAAAGACTTAGGCACTAGAACCCTGCACCTAATAGAAGAAAAATTAGGCCCAAATCTTCACCATGTTGGCCTAGGATCTGACTTCCTTAATAAGACTCCTAAAGCACAAGAAGTAAAATCAATAAATAATTAATAACTGGGATGGATTCAAATTAAAAAGCTTCTTCTCAGCAAAGGAAACAATAAAGTGAGGAGAGAGCCTTTAGGAGAAAATCTTTACCACATGCACATTCAATAAAGCATTAATGTCTAGGATACATAAAGTGCCGGGTTTCTGTTCTCGCCGACTAAAAGGCTCAGGGGTCACTCCAGTTAAACTGGGCTAACTGGGCTACACGAGATAACCACACAAGAGACACAAATACCTTTTTCTTTGGGGTCGCTGTGACGGCTCCTCTGACCTTAGGGGGCCGCAAAAAGAGAGAGCAAGAGCACGCGCTGACCCCTTTTATTGAGGAGAAGTTATTTAAATGAGACAAGGGGTCAGGTTTCAGGGGGCTGAGTCTATCTTCATGATGTCCACTGTCAGCAGGTTGATTGACACCTGGTAGGCCACACCCAAGGGCACAGTAAGAGAAGGGGACACACACAAGGCACTTCCATGGAAGATTCTATCCTAAACAGGGCAAGAGGTTATATTACAAAGGAACAGGTGAGCGTAGCTTCACCCATGGGGCTGTAGCAAGAAACACCCATGCATGAGACACTGACCCTCGAACCCAAAAAGAGTGGGGAAAGCTCTGCTACATTTCTGCGACTGAGCGCCTCAGCACCCAGCCGGGGAGTGTGACCTAGTCATGTGTAAGGTCGGTCTCCCACAATAAAGAACTCAAAAAACTTAATGCCAAAAAAAAAAAAAAAAAACAAGTAACCCAATCAATAAATGGGCTAAGGAACTGAACAGACACTTCACAGAAGAATACAATTGATGAACAAATGTATGAAAAAATGATCAACATCTCTAGCAATTAGAGAAATGCAAATCAAAACTACTCTAAGATTTCATCTCACTCCTGTCAGAATGGCAATCATCAAGAATACAGGCAACAATAAATGTTGAAGAGGATGTGGGGAAAAAGGTACACTCATACATAGCTGGTGAGACGGCAAATTGGTGCGACCATTATGGAGAGCAGTATGTAGATTCCTCTAAAAATTGGAAATGAAACTACCATTTGACCCAACTATCCCACTCCTCAGTTTATACCCAAAGGACTTAAAATCAGCATACTACAATGACGCACCCACATCAATGTTTATAGCTGCTCAATTCACAATAGCTAAACTACAGAACAAACCTAGGTGTCCCTCAATAAATGAATGGATAAAGAAAATGTGGTATATATACTCAATGGACTATTACTCAGCTTTAAAACAGAGTAAAATTATGGCATTTGCCAGTCAATGTTTGGAGTTGGAGAATATCATCCTAAGCAAAATAAGCCAGTCCCACAAAACCAAAGGCCAAATGTTTGCTCTAATATGTTGATGCTAATTCACAATAAGAAGCGGGGCACTAGGGAAGAATATCGTTAACTTAGATTATATAGAAGAAAGTGATGGGAGGGAAGAGAAGAAGATGTGGGGATACGAAATATAGTAGAATGAAACAGGCATTATTACTATATGTATATACGTGATTACATGACCAGTATGATTCTGCAACATTACACTCAGAAATATGAGAAATTATATCCCATCTATGTATAGTATATCAAACTGCATAAATGCATTCTACTGTCATGTATAACTAATTAAAACAAATTAAAATAAATAAAATAAAAAGAATCAAGGAAAATAGTCAATTGGTATATTTACAGCTGATTATCAATATAAACTGAACCATTAAGGAATAAATTTTGATGAAAATGGCTAGAAAGAACTAGGAAAAGAGTAAGACTGCTGAATTTCAATTCTTCTCAAACAAAAGTAAATCTGAGTTTAAAAAAAAAATGTGTTTTGTTCTAATTTAAAAGTTTCTAGCTGAGTGTGATAGCACATGCCTGGAATCCCAGCTACTCTTGAGGCAAAGGCAAGAGGATCAAAAGTTCAAAACCAGCCTGGCAACTTAATGAGACCCTTTTTCAAAATGAAAAATAAAAAGGATTGGAGATGTAACTCAGTACATGAGGCCCTGGTTTCACCAGTACCACATAAAAGAAAAAAGAAGTTTCTAGATAAATAAACCTATAGATTATAACTGGGTATTATGTATTAGGCAATCATACAATTACTTGTTAAACAAACTAAGTAGTTTGAATTACTTTGGGAGAGAGAAGTGACAACCTTAGATATAAAATTTATTACTTTTTTCCCGTTAATCAAGTAGTCTTATTTGAAATATGAGGTAGATATATTTAGTTGAAGTTTCATATACACTTAACATTAAAATAATTCAAATGCAGCCATCTCTACATTTATAATACAGTTTCCTTAAAACATAATAAAACTTTATTATGAAACTCTATTAGAAGTTTCCATAAGACTTCTAATAAACTGCAGGGTAAAAAAACATTGGATTATCTGTCTCATTAGTGATGTGCTTTTGTCCCCTTTAGTCTGGTGGTGATATAGCAGGCACTGCCATGTTCCCACCTGACCCCAGTCCTTGATGGGTTGGACAAGATGGTTACACAGGGGGGAGGCACCTAAATCCAACTGGTTAGCCCACCTCTTAACTAGGACTTTGGGATTTAGCCTCCCTCTCAATGACTAACCATGGCACATGCCTTTGGAACCCAAAGAAAAGCTGTCTACCACCAAGCTCCTTTCCTTTATTTTTTTTTTCTTGCTTAAGCCAAGTTTCCATTACTTACAGCCTGCTTTTTCATTTTAACTCTTTATTATATAAAAGTTCAAACATCCAAAAATATAAAAAACAGTATAATGAACTTTCAACAACTAGCTTCAACAAATATTGATTCATAACTGTGTGTCATCCTTAACCCCATCTATTTCTACTCCCCTCTGGATTAAATTATATCAAATCATTTCTTCTATGAGTATTTCTGTATACAGTTAGTATTCTGTTGTGTCAATATCTATGATCATAAAAATTAAAACATACCTTGATTGGCATTTTGCATATGGTTTTCATATTCTTCTGGAGATATCTGAGTGTGAAACACTGGGAAAAAGGTATCTTCATCCTCACGATGAGAAAGATCTACTGATTAAAAAATCACTTGCTCAATACTCACAAAAGTAAAAAACCGTCTATACAAGTTGTTTAAAAATGAATTAAGCTCTAACATTTTCTCAAATATTCCTGAAACCCTTTAATACACACAAAATTTTTAAACAATGTCAGTGTTGCTTCCAAGTAGAAATGATAATCATCTTTCTACACATGAGACACTGAAAAAAACTATTGGTCAAAGTAGCCAAATAGAATTTCCCTAGAACTTTAATGCAAAAAGGATGTATAAGAAACTGCTAAAATATCACCTACCTCCCCCAAGATAATGTATTCAAATCACAATGTTCACAAGAAAGACAATATACATAACCAAATAACTTTAATTGTGTTTTTATTTTTTATTTTAGATCCAAGGTAAACATTTCAAGTAGATAGTCAATCATTAAAATACAAAGAGAAAATTTTGGAGACTTTTGGCAGTTAGCCTTCTTATCTTGTAATTCATTCTCTTGGACTAATCCCCATAAAGATAACAGGAAATTTCATTGTTCAACTCTTTTTTTGTTTCAATATAATTTATCTTTACATTCTCCTATTAACTAATTTAAACATTTTATGTTTTCAAGAAACTAACACACGTAGTTTTTTTTAAAAATTGTACCTTAGTATGACAGAATCTGACAGGTTGTGGCACAGAAATGTTTTTGTTTCAGAAAAGAATTCAAGTCTTAAAGATTTTACAGAATCCACCACCTATCTCTGAAAACAAACCTGGTTTAAGCATTATCCATGCAATTAAAAACTGATAAATTCTACTTCGCAAAATTTAAAAATTTTTATGTAAAACAATATTGTTAGTAGAATGAAAAGGCAAGCCAAGTTTGGGGGGAAATATTTGCAAAATACATATCTGTTAAAAGATTACATCCAAAATACACAAAGAACTCCTAAAAGTCAAAAACAAAAGAACAACCCAATATTTAAAAATGGGCAGCACATACCTAAAGAAAAGATACAGATGGCAAATAAGTGTTTTCATGAAAAGATGTCGACCATTTTTCAGGGATATGCAAATTTAAAAAAAACATAGCACTACATACTTATTAGAATGGCTAACCCCCCCACACCAAAGTGATAATACCAATTGCTGGAAAAGATGCAGAGAATAGGGAATTTTCATTCATCGTCTGTAGGAATATAAAATGGTACAGCCATTTTGAAGAAAAGTTAGGCACTCTCATTCCAAGATAAAGTCTTATCATGTAATCCAGCAATCATGTCCCTACATATTTATCCAGATAAGTTGAAAACATGTATTCACACATAAATCTGCACACAAATATTTATAGCAGGCTTATTCATGGGATTGCCCAAAACTGGAAGCAACCAAAATATCTTTTGATAAGTAAAGTGATAAACAAACTGTGATTGGTATATCCATAGAATGAAATATTATTCTGTGACCAGAAAATAGCTACCAAGTCACAAAATGACATGGATGAATCTTAACTGCATATTGCTAAGTGAAAGAACAATTCCAATCATAATCAGTTAATTCAAAAGTAGAGGGAACTGTGACCACGCACAGAGCAGGCCCAGCGGCCTGCTGAGGGGCAGAGCCGCCCCCCACCCCCCGCGCCTGCCAGGTAGGGGAACTGTGACCACGGACAGAAAAGGCCCAGTGGCCCGCGGCGGGGCAGAGCTTCCAATCACTCCTGCAAGGTAGGCGGGCCTGCGACCCACTGGCAGAAGAGGAGCAGCGGCCTGCTGAGAGGCAGAGCCGCCCCCTCCCCCTGCACCGGCAAGGTAGAGGGAACTGTGACCACGCACAGAGCAGGCCCAGCGGCCTGCTGAGGGGCAGAGCCACCGACCACCCCCCGCCCCTGCCAGGTGACCACCGACAGAAAAGGCCCAGTGGCCCGCGGCGGGACAGAGCTTCCAATCACTCCTGCAAGGTAGGCGGGCCTGCGACCCACTGGCAGAAGAGGAGCAGCAGCCTGCTGAGAGGCAGAGCCGCCCCCTCCCCCTGCACCGGCAAGGTAGAGGGAACTGTGACCACGCACAGAGCAGGCCCAGCGGCCTGCTGAGGGGCAGAGCTGCCCCCCACCACCCGCGCCTCCCAGGTAGGTGGAACTGTGACCACGGACAGAAAAGGCCCAGGGGCCCGCGGCGGGACAGAGCTTCCAATCACTCCTGCAAGGTAGGCGGGCCTGCGACCCACCGGCAGAAGAGGAGCAGCGGCCTGCTGAGAGGCTGAGCCGCCCCCTCCCTCTGCGCCGGCAAGGTAGAGGGAACTGTGACCACGCACAGAGCAGGCCCAGCGGCCTGCTGAGGGGCAGAGCCGCCCCCCACCCCCCGCGCCTCCCAGGTAGGTGGAACGGTGACCACCGAGAGAAAAGGCCCAGTGGCCCGCGGTGGGACAGAGCTTCCAATCACTCCTGCAAGGTAGGCGGGCCTGCGACCCACCGGCAAAAGAGGAGCAGCGGCCTGCTGAGAGGCTGAGCCGCCCCCTCCCCCTGCGCCGGCAAGGTAGAGGGAACTGTGACCACGCACAGAGCAGGCCCAGCGGCCTGCTGAGGGGCAGAGCCGCCCCCCACCCCCCGCGCCTCCCAGGTAGGTGGAACGGTGACCACCGACAGAAAAGGCCCAGTGGCCCGCGGCGGGACAGAGCTTCCAATCACTCCTGCAAGGTAGGCGGGCCTGTGACCCACCGGCAGAAGAGGAGCAGCGGCCTGCTGAGAGGCTGAGCCGCCCCCTCCCCCTGCGCCGGCAAAGTAGAGGGAACTGTGACCATGCACGGAGCAGGCCCAGCGGCCTGCTGAGGGGCAGAGCCGCCTCACACCCCCCGCGTCTGCCAGGTAGGGGAACTGTGACCACCGACAGAAAAGGCCCAGTGGCCCGCGGCGGGACAGAGCTTCCAATCACTCCTGCAAGGTAGGCGGGCCTGCAACCCACCGGCAGAAGAGGAGCAGCGACCTGCTGAGAGGCAGAGCCGCCCCCTCCCCCCAGTGCCTGCAAGGTAGACGGAACTGTGACCACCATCAGAGCAGGCCAGACCTGCAACCAAGAGACAGAACAGGCCCAGTGGCCTGAGGAAGGGTAGAGCCGCTCCCCCCCCCCCGCACCTGCAAGGTAGGCGCACCTGCGACGCATTGGCAGTACAGCCCCAGAGGCCTGCAGAGGGGCAGTGCCGCTGCCTGCGCCTGCAGAGTAGACAGAACTGTGACCACCGACAGAACAAGCCTAGCGGCCCGCAGAGGGACAGAGCCGCCGCCCGCGCCTGCGAGGGAGACTTTGCAACTATACAAGACCAATATAAATATATAAGGGGAAAATTCAATAGCACAACAGTTTCACCAAGTAGAAAGGAACGCGAACAGTATGAAGAGACAAGGAAAGAAAGGACCACAAGCATTGCAGGTCAACTCAACGTTAGAAGAGGTAACAGCTGCAGCAGATGGAATGTCAGATAAAGAATTCAGGATATACATGCTTCAGATGATCTGGAGTCTCAAGGAAGACATCAGACAGCAAAATCAGACAATGAAAGATCACTTCAACAATGAATTACATAAACAAATCCAAGAAGCAAAAGATCAACTATACAGGGAAATAGAGGTTATAAAAAACAAACAAACAGAAATCCTAGAAATGCAGGAAGCAATAAGCCAACTTAAAAACTCAATTGAGAATACTACCAGCAGAGTAGAACACTTAGAAGACAGAACATCAGACAATGAAGATAAAGTATTTCAACTTGAAAAGAACATAGACAGCTCAGCAAGACTGTTAAGAAACCATGAGCAGAACATCCAAGAAATATGGGATAACATCAAGAGACCAAATTTAAGAGTCATTGGGATACAGGAAGGGACAGAGTTTCAAACCAAAGGATTGAGCAATCTATTCAATGAAATAATACGAGAAAACTTCCCAGACTTGAAGAATGAGACAGAACCCCAAATCCTAGAAGCCTACAGGACGCCGAATGTGCAAAATCATAAGAGACCCACACCTAGACACATTATAATGAAGATGCCCAACATACAGAATAAGGAGAGAATTTTAAAAGCTACAAGAGAAAGGAAGCAGATCACATTTAGGGGTAAGCCAATCAGGATAACAGCTGATCTTTCAACACAGACTCTGAAAGCTAGAAGATCCTGGAATAACATATTTCAAACACTGAAAGAAAATGGGTTCCAACCAAGAATTGTGTTTCCAGCGAAATTAAGCTTCAGGATGGAAGATGAAATTAAAACCTTCCACGATAAACAAAAGTTAAAAGAATTTGCAGCTAGAAAACCATCTCTTCAAAACATCCTTGGCAAAACATTACAGGAAGAGGAAATGGAAAATAACAATGAAAACCAACAGTGGGAGGTAGGACACTAAAGGGGGGAAAATAATCAAAGAGGAAAACAAACCATGTTTAGTAACATAAATAAACAAATATGGCTGGAAGAACAACCCATATCTCAATAATAACCCTAAATGTTAATGGCTTAAACTCACCAATCAAGAGACACAGGCTAGTAGAATGGGTCACAAAACAAGACCCAACAATATGCTGCCTACAGGAGACGCATTTGTTAGGAAAAGACATACATAGGCTGAAGGTGAAAGGTTGGGAAAAATCATATCACTCATATGGACTTCGGAAACAAGCAGGAGTATCCATACTCATATCAAATAAAATAGATTTCAAGCCAAAGTTAATCAAAAGGGATAAAGAGGGATACTACATACTGCTCAAGGGAACCATACACCAACAAGACATAACAATCATAAATATATATGCCCCAAACAATGGTGCAGCTATGTTCATCAAACAAACTCTTCTCAAGTTCAAGAGTCTAATAGACCACCATACAATAATCATGGGAGACTTCAACACACCTCTATCACCACTGGACAGATCTTCCAAACAAAAGTTGAATAAGGAAACTATAGAACTCAATAACACAATTAATAACCTAGACTTAATTGACATATATAGAGTATACCACCCAACATCAAGCAGTTACACT